TGGGCACCGTCCACACCCACAGCGCCCACTTCAAGGTGGATCTGGATGTAGCAGGTAAGATATTCCAGCAGAAACAAGGATTCCAGAAGAGGGGATTGAAAAGTTGTCTGTTTGCTTTGGGTTTTCTGGAAGTTATCAGGAAAGGCAGATCTGAGCATGAGTTGTGGTTTGGGAGTTTCATACTTCCACTTTTGTTGGATGGGAGAAAGTTGGCTGCTGAATTTTATTTGGATCTTAGCTCATTGGCTGAGAGCAATGTCACCCTCCCTCCACATGACCTCATCTGAAAATCTTGAGAAATGGCAAAGCTCAGGGAGGAGGCAGTCTCTGGGCTCACAAGGTCCCCTTTGCCCTCCTCCCTCCCTCCCTCCCTCCCTCCCTCCCTCCCTCCCTCCCTCTTATACAGGCCCCACTTCAGGGAGGCAGCCCTTCATTTTTCAGTTCATTTCTCTGTGTGTGGCCTGTGGTGCTGAGGTTTTGGAGGCTCTGTTTGCATTGTGCCAAGTCCCTGGCACATGCAGGCCCGTCATGGAATACCCCAGGTTGTACATTTCCTTGGGAGATGAAGCCCCCCTCCTCCCTGAAATTCCATCTCTCTCTGGGCACAATACACTTTATAGCATAGGTGCTGTGGAGTGTTCAGATAGATCCTGGGGTTAGTGGTCACCGAGAGAGCCAAAGATACGTGAGGTCTTGGAGTCTGTCTTTCCACTTTTCTTCCCCACATTAAGTCAATCACCCATTTTTTTTCTGGTCTGCCTCCAAAATGTGTCAAAGCCTTGCTGGGCCAGCCTTCTCTCTGCTGTTTCCACTCTTCTTCCTCTCAGGTCCAGGGGCCACCTACCAGCCTGTGCCTGCATGCTTCCCTGGGTAGCTCCAAGTTTCCCCATCACCTATAAGATCCGCACTCAGAGGGTGCAAGGCCCTTCCCCTCAAGAGTGCGGCTCCAGCCCGCCTTTCAGGCTCCTCCCCCGGCTGTCTTAGCCACGCCCACCCCCTCCGAGGCCCGGGACACACGAGTCACCCCAGTCACACACGAGTCAGGCTTCTATGCTTTTGCTCATGTTTCGTCCCTGCCTAGAACGCCCTGCTGTGCTGGTCGTATGTCCTGTTACAAGGCTGAAAGGCACCCAGGAAGGCCCCCTTTTCCGGCCTGCGCCTGTATTCCTGTGACCTTGGACCGTGAATGTGCTCCTCTCGCACAGCAAGCCAGCCAGGGCTTTGCCTGCTGCAGCCTCCGTGAGAGCAGGAGGGAAAGCACAGGATTGCATTCCTCCGTGTGTCCCAGGGCTGAGCACAGTCTCTCCATTAATAAGTGTGAAGGAGTAATGAATGAAATCCTTGAGGAAATACTTTACAGGTCAACAGCTTTGGCTGAAAGATCAGGGATATCTTGGGGAGAGGGAAGGGGAGCAGGGGGCACACCCAGTTCTGGGTTTCTCTTTGGCCCCACTCTGAAGCAGTGAGTGGAGGGGAGGGGACAGAGTCCAGAGGGGACAGGGCAGCTGCATGACCAGCCCTCCTTCCCGCCCACCTCCACCCCACCCCGGCAGGACTGGAGAACTGGGTCTGGGCTGAGGACACGTCCTATGTCCCCACGGCGGTACCCTGGAGCCCCGAGCA